ATACAGTTTGTTTTTTGAATCATAGGATTGCTCATTTTATTTGAAGGTGGGCATTAGTATTTAGAAGGCTTAAACAAAAGGCTTAAGTTACTGGCTCTAGGAAATAGTCTAGTGAAAGGAAATACTTACGGCGCTAATGAAAGTCAGTCCATTAGGAAGTATTTCCAAGTCTTCAGAGCCAGTTTCTGCCAGAAAAGAGAATAGCACAGATTGTTTCACACTATTGCAGGAAGCTAGTGGTCCTTTTCTTTATCACTCCTAACTTGAAAATGGGGCTACATATTTAGTTCTCTTTGATAGGTTCAGAATAGTTATTTTTTTCATTTATTTATTCAAATTGACTAAGGTGATTATACAAAAATTAAAAGACATTAATATTATTAAGTGTAATTAAAATTTACATTTAATATATTTGTTTTAAATTTATGGACTAAAACTTTTTCCTCAGGGTATGAAATCTCTTCTATAAAGTTCACGAAAATTCACAAAATGTACAAAAGGTATGATAATTTGAAAATAGCTTGCTGTTTTTTTTAAAACACACAGAATCAGCTACCAATATATATTGATACTTAATAGTTCTAAATCAAACAAACTCTTTTAAAACCATATTAGAAATATAAGCAAACTCCAAACCTTTCTGTTAAAATGGAGATACATTTCATATGCAGAGTAAGCATTTACTATTAATTATAAACATCAGTAAAAATGTCACAAAGTTAGTTATACTTTAAGTATGTGTAAATTTTTTAAATTTCAGTCAGTCTAGAGACAAATGAGATTTTTTATTTTTGTATTGATATGCTTAGTGGAGATTTGTTTTTCAAATATCCAGTGATATTTTATATCAATACCATATTTGTTTTCTAGAAAAAAATTACACTATAAGATACCTAGCCAAGCTTTTCGATGCTAATGAATAAGGCGCCTAGTCTAGCCTCTTTAACCTTAGACAACTGAGAAAAATAATTCTAAAAAAAAAAAATTAAGACATATCAAAAGCATGGATTTTAAGCAAGTTGTCTTCAAATAACAAAGCTGGTTGGTTGAAATCAGATGGGAATTAGAGTCCTGTGATAGTCCCTGGTTGCCTACCAGCTGCTATTCCCCTGCCCTTTTATCTTACCTGACAAGGCCTGCCTCCCACAATGGAGGCCCAATAATTACTTTTCCCAGCTTCCTTTGCAGCTAGGGCACCAGCCTGTTGTCTAGCTCTGATTAATGAAATCTAAGGGGAAATCTGCTGAGAGCTTCTGGGAAAAATTTTCCTCCCTGATATTAAAAGAAAGATGCATGAGGAGCAGCTTTGTGGTCATTGCAAACACGTGTCAGGGCATTTAAAAATTTTGCCCTTTACTCACTGCTTTTTCTCCCTCTTCTGCCTTTCCTCTGCCATCTCCTCAAGTTATATCACCATAAAAATCAAATTGTTTTATTGTTTGTCCTAAAATGACCATTAATATCTTGGTAATTAAAATAACCTATTAATATCTTGGTAATATGTTGATAAAGTCAAAAGTCAAGTAGTTTATTTAAAATTAGCTACTGACTTAATAATACTCTTCTGGTTCATAGTTTTATTTTTGAACAAAATTAAACAGGTGTATTAATCAAGTAAATAGCAACATAATACTGCAAATTCAAATGAAATACTTCCTCCCCTCACATACTTACCTATTCCTTTCACTAATTTACAGTTAGGAGGTTGGACTGGTTCTACTTCTCGGAAAGCATTAAGTCGTGCTCTAGGGAGAAAAAAGGAACCAAACACACATAGAACCACTCAGAAATTATGATTAAGTTGTAAAGGTAAGTAGCCAGTAAAGTTCTCCTTCAATGTACTTTGCCTGTGTTTCAACCCCAGGGTTAGTGGTCCCTTGGATTCTATCAGCCAAAGCCAAAGCCAGACATGTGGGGCCTCTAGGCACATTTAGTATTTGTTTAGCAGAGGTGGATAGATACACAAAGAAGATACACAATGTCCTCTCCAGGCCTCTGTGCACTTTGGCAGGAACAGGAACTATTTCATCAGCTGTGTAAGGAGTCCTGTGTGGGAATTTGGGTTAAATAGCCACATGGTTCCAATTTATTCCATTGATGTTTTAGGGCTGCTGACAGATGGGTCTCCTGCCCATCTGCCCAGTCTGACTCCGAAGCTTGGACTGTGTATCTGCTTTCCACTGTGTTACTTAAAAAATGCAGGTGTGCTTAAAAGGATTTATAACTTCAGAAAATCATACCCAAGGCCAGCATTTAAAAAGGCATTTCACACAAACACACCCAAAAGCAACTTAATAACCTGAGTGCATAAGCATCGAGGGGAACATTTGAGTGAAGGACAAAGGAAAAAAGAACAGATGTGAGATGGGAGTGCCAGCAGGCTGTCTGAGCAGAGCAGAGCTATTGATGAGGCATTAGAAAGAAATGGACCACAACATTAGGACAGCCAAGAGATTTAAACGATAAACATTTTTTGATAACTAATGATACAATATAATATATTGTCATAGGCATAGTAAGCGGTAACAATTATCCAAGAATCCCTGCAAATCTTATTTGGCTAAAGATGGACAAGCTGATAAATTCTTAACTTGCCTTACTGATAATTTAGTCTCACAGAAAGAGGAGGATAGGCTAGAAGTGAATGGGCGCTTTGGATAAAATTCTTAGCAACATGGTACAAAATGACAGGAATTTGGGGGCAATTGGTCTTTTGTCATTCACTCAGAAAAAAAAATGTAGCTTGTTCCTATTACCATGCCATTGGCTATCAATTCTGCCTTCTAAGAGGCTCTGACCTAAAAGTCTAAGACCGGGGTCCAGTAATTTGTTTTGTTAAAGCACCACAGTTCATCCTGATGGACAACCAGGATAGAGAACCACCAGTCTGGGTGCCAGAGATCCAGCAATGAGAAAGGCCTAGCCTCCAAAGAGCTGGTAGTTCCCTGAATGACAGACATGAACTTAGAAAGCAGGCTTCAAAGGAAGATTGGGGTCTGCCTTTCTCAGGTCATGACCTGAGAAATGAAAAGGTATTTCAGAAATAGAAATCTGACATATAATCCCCAAAATTCACAATAAAAAAATAAAAAGGAAAGTGATGGAGCAGTGGCTTGAAAATTTGCAGACAGAGACCCACATTAGGAAAAGCATTTTACATTTCAGTAGACACACACAGCACACACATTCACTCACCACACACATCCGAATTAAGGTTCACAAAAGAATATGGACACTAATACGTGTGCTGCATCCTTAACTTTTCTTTTTAATTCTATTTCATTTATTTTAAATGCTGGTCATGATCTATTACATGGATTTTGTGATGCACCATTTTTAAGTAATTCTTTTTTTTAGCTGAGCCATCCTGCCACCGGTTAGCAGCTCAGTGGCTGCTCAGCTCGGGCCGGGACTCAAACTGCTGTTACTTAGAGCTCAAACTCTTGAGCGAACTCTTAACCAACTGAGCCACTCGGCCGGCCCCTGTGACACACCATTTTTAAAAATGCTGGTCTAGAGAAAACTCAGTGAATATTTATACAGTGCCCCCCCACACACACACAGAACTCAAAGGACTGACTGGTACAAGATGTAAAGGGTGAATGGATAATCAAGGACAAGACAAAGAATGGCATAAAGAAGAGAGTAAAGGTGTTGGATTGCTGAATGGGTCAACATTTGCCAAAGATAGCCTAATTAGCTTTCCTTAGAGTCAAAACCACAGGAGAATAAGCATGCTGCCAGGCTTGCAACATTCTTTTAATGTGATGGATTCACAGAGAGCAGAGAAAAGCAGAACTACTTAGCCCCTAGGTTAATTCAGGCTTCTCTCTCATGGAAGATAATCTCTAACCTACAAAATAGAATGATCACAGTTAAAAGGAGTCCAGGGTGGAAAGGAGGCATTAACTCAGCACTAAGTTGCTTTGAGTTCAAATTTGTGGCCAAAACAAGCATATTTCAACAGGATAATCATTGTTACTACAGTTCAGTTGCTGTATATACCCTCATTCAATCCACAAACACCTCTCTGAGGTATTACTGTCCCTATTTTACAGGTGACTAAGATTAAGTGGTGTCCCAAGGCCACAAAGTGATGAAGTGGCTGAGCTAGGATTGGAACTCAAGTCTGAATGCAAAGCTTGCATTCAGTCCTCTACCCAAGCAAAATTTACAGAGGGCACTGCTGAAAAGCTGGAGGAAGCACCAGAAGACAATTCCACCTGTGTTACTATAATCCTTCTGACATGTTTCTATCTTGTTCTCAAGTATTAGGAAATATCTTGTCCAGGGCCTGATTAAGTCCAAATGTTCCAGGTCTAAGGGATAAAGTGCAATGTCTGAGATGGGTCTCTGATTCATAAGCCTCTGAACTCTGGCTGAAAATCACATACTCCCTACTGTGAATTATTCTTTGCAAATATGTGCTTGCTCATTACAAAAGAAAGTGAGAGTCTCTAGCTATGCATTAAGAAATCCATTCTGGAACTTTCCTTGAGGCCAGACTCACCCTTATCAGTCTACTTTCTGCCACTGCACACTCCTCATTCATTCAATGCTCCCTATTGGTGCCTCCTATGTGCCAAGCCCTGTGCTAAGGGCTCTCACACAGACTTCTTCATCTAATCTCCTTAGTCACTTCTGAGGCTGGGATCAATATTTTATCTGTTTTGTAAGTAAGAAAACTGAGGCACGGAGAAGCCAAGTAGTTTGCCTGTGGACACTTATTTAAAAGGGTATAATTGAGATTTGAAATTAGGTGTCATGATGCCAAGGACCCTTTTTTCTGTATCGCTTTCACACTTCTTTTCATTTGCTCATGCTTTTCCCTCTACCTAGAATGCCCTTTACCTCCTAAGCCACTGGAAAGACTCCTACTCATGACATTCTGTAGTTCCACCTTCATTTATCCTCCTGAACCTTCTACACACACATCTATCAAGTCTCTTACCACATGTCTTACAGTTATCAGTTTTTGGTCTTGTTCCTCACAGTAAATTCTGAAATCTTTGAGTGCATCCTGCATCCTATTCATCCCTGTGACTCCCAGCATCAACACAGCGCTCATGGAGAGAAGGTGTTTACTGAATTGTTTCATGGCACTAGTAAGCCAGTGCATCAGATGGAGGATATGGTGTTGGTTGCGTTGAGAGGGAAGGCTGGAGAGTCGTTTGTCCTTAGTCTAAGGTCACAATGAGGTAGTACCATAATACATACTTAAGTATCACTTATTATGAGGATGATCAGTGGATTTTTGACACAGCAGATGGCAATAATAAAAGCTAACATTTATAGATCACCTTTCATGTGCCAGATTTTATACATACCCTACTGTGACATATATTATTATCCTATAATTTTCAGGTGGAGAAACAACTCAGAATGGTAAAATGACTTGAAGATTATAGAAATGAGATCTAACCCAGGTGGGCTGGAATCTACCACTGCTCTCTACCCACTAGAGTGTGTTGTCTAGCGTGGGCACGGAGGTGGCAGAAATGCACTGAGAGGCCTAAGGCTAGCGTTGTGGTTTCCTTCTAATGAAGTGGGCTCATGCATCAAGATGGGCAATTTAGGGATGCTGAAGGTGCCACAGAGACACAGGGCTGCAACAGGGAGCTGCTCGCTCCCACGGGGTGCTGTTGATACCATAGTCCATTCCCCAGACATGCACAGTGCACACCTGCAAGGCCACGGGCAACTGACTACAAAAATGGGTGGAGAGGCTATTGATCCAGGGGAGCCCTCTCAGTTCCTCCCTCTGTGTTGCTATCACCTCGGAAGCATCAGAAAATGTCTCAAGACACCCCTGGACCCTTCCACAAGCTCCCTCCAACCCAGGCCAATGTAACTTCTTGTGAACCTGCCCCCCTCTGGAGATCTGGCTTGCCCCTGACACAGCTTCGGGGCGTAACCTCTGCCCCTCTCTCCATTGGGCAGATTCATGATCTTCTCTGGGACTCAGGCCTTAGCTCTAAAGTGGGGATAAAGTTACTTTACTGATCCTCCAGGATGTTTGATCTGGCTCTAACATGGGTGATGCAAGTGTTGAATGTCCTTTAGAGAAGTGCATACGAATCTCCTGGGGAGCTTGTTAAATAATGTTGATTCTAATTCAATAGTGTGGCGTGGGGCCTAAGCTTCTGCAAGTCCAGCAAGTTCCCAGGTGATGCTCATGCATCTGATGCTCATGCATGTGGTCATAGCCCCTTTGAGTAGAGGGCCTTTAGGGCCTTATGGACAGCAGGTGCAAGTTCCCTTTCTTCCCCTGTCTGGGCTGCTTCAGAAGGCTCTGCACCCATCCTCCATTGCCTAAACCACCCATTCCCTCAGCCCTGCCTTGTTCCTATGCCTGCTCTTCTTTCTGTTCTAAAACAGTTCTCTTTCCATTCTAAAACCAGAGGTCCATCCCATTTGCATTTTCCGTTTCGCTTCTCAGTCACCTGATTATAACCAGAAGTTCAAGACTGAGGCTCTCTCTCTCTCCATTTGATGGATCTAGGTGCTGAATGTAACTCCAGGTCTTCCCATGGGGCTAAGTGTCTCCTGCAGACACCCCATACACACTGGGAAACCACAGGCAATGCCAACAAAGGGATTCGCAGAACTGACATGTGTTCAACTATGACCACAGTGTGCTTTGGTCCTTCTCAGGAAAATCAGGATCAGGCTTGGGGCCCAGAAACCATTTGCCCTTGACAATTTCTTTGTTTCTATATATGAGCTTCCCCTGTTGCCCAAGATCAGGATCCAACTTCTTAGGGTTGAAATCTAAGTCTTGGTGCAGGTCTGTGGTATAGAAGAATATCCCTTCTCAAACTATGCCAGAGAGTTATGCACGATATTCATGGATGGCACCATAAAAGGGAGTGGAGGTCATGGGCAAATAAGTCTCTGAAATGATTACTTAAACAAAGAAAAAGCATGTTTTTTACTGAAGGACTTTTCAAAATTTCAATATACCAGAGTGCATTGCCAATCTCTAGAAGGCTGTAATAGACAACGTTTCCCAAATTTATTTGTCCGAGGAACCCATTTTTTGTGGAGCAAGTCTTGAGACTCATGTTCCATGGAACAAACTTGGGGAAATAGTGATGTTGAATAAAATCAGCTAAGACCTTCTATCGAGAGAGAAACCTTTTAGGTCAAGGGAGGTACAGCTATACTTTTACACAAAAGTGTATACAAGATGTTTGCGGTCTCCATTCTTAAATTAAAGAAGGTAAACCAGCAGGTAGACCTTCACTCCTTCCTGGCAAATCTGTAATTCTGTGGAACATATCTCAGAGTGGGGCACCTGGGAGAAGATGGGTAGAACAAACCCAGGTGCAGATGGAAATGGAGAATCCAAAGCAGAAAACCTAAATGGGGTGTGTTAGACGATTTCATTTCATCTCATTTCTCTTCACTGCAGGATGGTACCACAACCACACATATGGTGGTGCAAACTATATATATATATATATATATATATATACACCTTTGGCAGCAAATAGTACCATGATTAATAAAAATCCACAAACTGTAATTTTCACATCATTTAAAACCCCAACTCACAATTTCTTACTTTTTTCTAAGTTTGTGATTCCAAAAATAACCAACAATTAGAAGAAAGAAAAAAACAAAACCATAGTTCAGAAAAACCTATTCTGAACGTAAGCTTCTAATCAGTCCATAGGGTTATATAATTTTTTAAAAATCCAAAGTGTTCATTTTGGTATTTAGTAATGTTTTACTTCAAAGTAAATAACGAGGTACTATTGACTAAATCTTAGGGGTTAGTTGATTTCTAGACTTTGAACCCCTGTAAAAACTTACCACAAAATGACTGATGCATTCTTTTTTAAATTATTTTTTTTCAATTACAGTTCACATTCAATATTACTATATATTAATTTCAGGAGTACAGCATAGTGGTTAGACATTTATATAATCTATTGCAGTGGTCCCCCCAATCAGTCTAGCACCCACCTGGCACTATACATAGTTGTTGCAACATTATTGACTATATTCTCTATGCTGTACTTGACTATTTTGTAACTACCAATTTGTTAATACTATTTCTTAATCCTTCACTTTTTTCAGCCGGTCCCCCACCCCCATCTAGTAAGCATCAATTTGTTCTCTGTAACTCTGAGTCTACTTCTGGTTTTTGTTTATTTTGTTTTTTAGAGTCCACATACAAGTGAGATCATATGGTGCTTGTCTTTCTCTGTCTGAATTATTTCACTAGCATAATATCCTCTAAGTCCATCCATGTTGTCGCAAATGGTAATATTTCCTTTTTTTTATGGCTGAGTAACAACTGATACATTCTTTACCCCCTCCCCTTTGTGTAGTATCTAACAGTATATAAAATACTTTTGGAAAGCAGGGCACTAGCATTCATTGAATAGTTACTATGTCCCAGACACTGTGTTAGTTGCTTCCTATAAAGTACGTATCAGCATTTTAGTTAGTTAGTTAGAGAGATAGGGGTGGGGGGTGGGGGGAGAATATGAGAGAAGGAGAACCCAGGACATCAAATGCCAGCTCCAGGGTTCTTCCCGGGCCCAGGTCCCCAGTGGAGCACGCAGGCCAGAACAGCGCATATTCGATCCCACCTGCTCTGCTCCACTCGATAGGTTTCTGTCTCTCTCGTTGAAGCCTCAAATTGAGAATCTCTAAGCAAGGAAGGTTTGCGCCATGGCCAGGCAGCCACAGAGGGGGGCTCCTTTCCGTAATTCACACACTATCAAGGCGTCCCCCAGTCCAGTTATCTGTTCTGAAGACTGGTTGAGTAGTGAATCTGTAGCCAAGGAACACGGATCTTTATGAAAAATTAATTCGTGTATGCCAACAATGTGGTCAGTCACACTGACAACTGTCTCTGGCTGGGGCGCTCAGACGGTGAGCAAGAAGGTTTTTAGGTGGCAGGCACGAGGAAGTTGGATAAATATTTATGAGAAGCTCTGTGGGATGCGCATCCACCACTTCCCTGCTGACTTTCTGTGAAGATCCTGGACCCCACTTTGAGATGTGTGGGGGTGGGGGTGGGGGTGGGATGTCCTGGGTCTGACGTGGGTGGGGAGGACAAAGGCTGCAGCCCTCACCACAACCCAACTTACTCGTAAGTAGACTGGTAATCTTTCAAGAGTGTCAGCCCCAGCCCGAAGAGGGTGAGCAGCGCTGCCTTCGCCATGGCCTCGGACAGAGAGCGATGGATGGACTGACGCACCCGCCGCGGGGAGACCCTGCTTGCCTGCCTGCAACCGGAGCTGTGCGGAGCGCAAATTAGACCGCCCCGCTCCGCCCCGCCCTCCCGACCGCGACTCACGGGCTGACCTGGCTCACCCACGGCGGGGGCTCCGGGTCAGCGCCTGCCTACCTCCAAGAATTGCGTGCTCCCTGGGACTTTAAAACGAGGAAACCAAGGAAAGCTGCCTAGACGAGGAAAGACGGGGAGACAAGCAGGTGGGAGCAAATTGGAGAGACGCGGACAAGGAGAGCCAAGCTTTGATGAGCTCTCACGTTGTGCCAACAAGGTCCTCATCCTTGTGGCTCAGTGGGGTTCAGTAACTTGATCACCATAACTCAGCCAGAAAGGGAACGGAAAGAAGGGAGTGCTGGGGCTGGTACCCCAGAGACCTAACTTTCGTCTCACCAGGATACCACGGTGTCACCTTCAAACATCTGGATGTCAAGCGTCTCATTCTCTCAGCACACACCCCTGACCTTACAGCTTCAAGCACATCAGTCCGGTGTTCGTTCATGCCGGCCTTCGCGTACACTTGTTGAGCACTTGCCCTGTGCCTGAAATCAGTGAACTATGATCACTCCTGCATATATCGTGCTGTGGATAATGCGCATATTCTATGGAGAGAAATAAAGCAGGGAAGGGAGATAGGGAGTACTGGGGTGCCATTTAAGGGAGAGGAGTCAGGGAAGGCCTCACTGATCAGGGGACTCCTGAGCGAAGCAGATGGGTGGTGTCTGCACGCCCATCTCTCCTGTTACCATGAATCAGGTGTTTCCTGCTTCCCTAAAGTCCAGCCCCTCCCTTTCCCTGGGTCCCTTTCCTTCTTTCCTCCTCAGAGATTTTGGTTCCCGTTACACCTTCTCGCTCCTATAACAGCCATCTCTTCCTCTTTTCTGGAATATTGTCATCAGACACCAACGTGCTTTAGTGTCACTCATAGTTTTCTAGAGAAAATGCTCTTTGATCCCACATTCTAACTACTGCCCTCTTTCTCTGCTCTTCCAGTAAACAAAAAAAAATGTAAATCCTTTAGAAAGACTTGTCAACAGTTGCTGCTTCAATTTTATCACCTCTTGACGATGATGCTCACAAATTCTTTGACACTCCTCCCATTGAGAAGTGGGGTGCAGGGCCTCACCCCTTCAGTCAGTGCTGACTCTACGAATGCTAAAATACAGTGGTGCTATTCAAATTTGAGGGCACAGCCTTGGAGAGCAGCAACTTCCATCTCTTGTCACTGGCAACATTTATTCTTAAACCTTGAACTTCCACAAAATAACTTGACTACCACACTAGAGTGACCAACATATGGAGAAGGAAAATGGACAGCTAAGGCCAGCCTTCTAGCCATCTCCACCAAACAGCAGACATATGAGGGAAGCCTTCTTCGACACTCCAGACTAGCCCAACCACCAACTGAATACTATTGAGACACCCCCGTTGACACCAGGTGGAACAGAAAAATTGACCTTGAGCTCTGCCCAAATTCCTCATTCTTTGTTTATAAGCACAAGAAAATGATTGGTTCAGCAACTCACTTCAGGGAATATCTCCAGTCTCCCATTCTCTACTTAACCCATTCTAATATAGTTTCTGTTCCTTTCACTCAACTGTAGAATTGGCTCTTATTAAACCACCCATAATATCCATGTTATCAAATTGAGTTGTTACTTCTCTGCCATAATCATACTCAACTTATAACCACATTGGGCACAGATCACCACTCCCTTCTTGTTAAATATTTTCCTATCTTGGATTCTGTGGGCCCATCCTCGCCCAGTTTTTCTCTTGCTTTGTTGGTCTTTGCAGGGTCCTCCTGGCTCTGACCTCTAAATGGTGAAGCCCTAGGACTAGCTCTGAGACATGTTCTCTTTCTACATTCTCCTTCAAGGAGGTCACATCAATTCCAGTAGATTTAAATACCATCATTGTGCTGGTGTTTCCAAAATGTACACACCTAACTCAAGCCTCTTACTGTGGCTCTAGCAAATCACCCTTAACCTTTCTAGGTAAAGTAACATACCCCATCGCCAGCAACCTTTTGACATGATCCCTTTTTTTTTTCATTACTCATTGTTTCTGAAACCACCTTGTTGATTTATTTATACATTTGTGGGTCTGTTGCTAACTAGTGGAACGGGAGCTCATTAAGGTCAGGGGTTCTGTTCTGTTCCTTACTATGTCTCCAGGGCATAGGAAAGAGTCTTCCCATGAGTAATCCCTTATTAGACATTTAGTGATTGATTGGCTGGTGAGCACTCACTGTGTTCACTGACTGGCTGCCTGGTTGATGTTCCCACTGGGATGTTTAATAGTCTCTTCAAAATGTATCCAAAGAAGAACTCTTGATTCCCCCACCCCAGCATGTTCTATCTTCTAAACCCTCCATACTTCAGTACATGGCACCACTACCATCCAGTTTCTCAATTCCAAAATCTAGACATCTTCATTCATCCCTCCCTTTCTCTCACACATCCTCGCACACCAAATATATCAGTCAGTCTCAAAAGTTCTACTTCAGTATTAATTATCTATTGTTGCACAACAAATTAAGCAACATCTAGCAGTTAAAAACAATAGACACTTATTATCTCAGTTTCTGTGGATCAGGAATCTAGGTATGACATAGCTGCATAACTCTGGCTCAAGGTCTGTCATGAGTTGACAGCTGAGCTGTCAGCCAGACTTGTGATGGTTAATTTTAATTGTCACCTTGGCTAAGGAATTCCTAGGTAGCTGGTAAAGCATTATTTCTGGATGTGTCCGTGAGACTCTTTACAGAAGAGTTCAGCATTTGAATGAGTAGACTGAGAAAAGAAGATCAACCCTCATTAATGTGGGCAGGTATCATCCAATCCTTTGATGACCTGAATGGAACAAAAAGGTGGAAGAGTAAGGAATTTGGTGTCTCTTTACTTGAGCAGGGACATCTATTTTCTCCTACCCTTGGACATAGAAGCTTCTGGTTCTCAGGCCTTTGGACTCTAGGACTTAAACCAGCAGTCCCCTCATTTCTCAGGCTTTTGGACTGAACTGAATTACTGGCTTTCCTGGGTCTCCAGCTTGCAGACAGCATATTGTGGCATATCTCAGCCTCCGTAATCATGTGAAACAATTTCCATAATAAACCAAATATATATATATTTGCTCCTGTGCTTCTGTTTCTCTGGAGCACCCTGACTAACACAGCTGTAGTCTCATTTGAAAACTCAACTGAGGTGGGGCAGAAGAGGTGAACGAGATCAACTTTCAAGGTCAAGTCACATGGTTCTTGGCAGGTTTCAGCCCCTTGTCACACAGGCATCTCCTCTCCACAGACAACGGCAGCATAGCAAGGCAGCTGGCTTCCCCCATGGTGAGGAATGTAACAATATTTATTTGTTTGTTCATTTGTTTTGTTTATTATATTCCACATATAAGTGAAATCATATGGTATTTGTATTTCTCTGTCTGACTTATTTTACTTAGCATAGTACCTTCTAGGTCCATCCATGTTGTGAAAATGGTAAAATTTTCATTCATTTTTATGGCTGAGTAATAGTCTGTGTGTGTGTGTGTGTGTGTGCGCGCGCGTGTGTGTGTGTGTGTGTGTAGTGTGTGTGTGTGACATCTTCTTTATCCATTCATCTATTAATGGACATTTAGGTTGCTTCCATGTTTTGGCTATTGTAAATAATGCTGCAATGAACAAATTAGTATTTTTGCTTTCTTTGGATAAATACCCAGAAGTGGAACTGCAGAATCATATGCTAGTTCTATTTTCAATTTTTGAGAAACTTCCATAGTGCTTTCCATAATGGATGCATCAATTTACACTTCTACCGACAGAGCATGAGGGTTCTCTTTTCTCCACATTCTCTCCAACACTTGCTATTTGTTGACTTTTTGATAATAGTCATTCTGACAGGTATGAGGTGATTTCTCATTGTGGTTTTGATTTGCATTTCCCTGATGATTAGTAAGAAGATATTAACAAATGATATATCCGATAAGGGGCTAATATCCAAAATATATAAAGAACTCAATATACATATTCAAAAAAAAGCACAAACAGTCTGATTAAAAAATGGGCAGAGGAGGGCCGGCTGAATGGCTCAGTTGGTTAAGAGCTCACTCAAGAGTTTGAGCTCTGAGCAACAGCGGTTCGAGTCCAGCCCGAGCTGAGCAGCCACTGAGNATTAGACTTGAAAATGGAGACATGAAAAAGAGCCTAAACAATTTTTAAATCATTGTATGGATTGTATTTTCACTCTCTTAAAGCAAACATTGTTGTTGGCATTTTTAGAATAGTTACACGTATCATTTTGGGGGGTACATATCTGAGGCAAGGGTAGCTTGCTCGTTTAGGGTAACAATTCTTTAGGGTCAGGCTGGAGTTTCGTTTTTCACATTTTTTCCTGGGTTTTCTGTTTGTTTGTTTGTTTGTTTTAAAGATTTTATTGGGTAATTGAGAGAGGGGAACAGTGTTGGGGAATTGGGGAAGGGGACCAGCCAAGTTGTTGTTCTTTGGTCTTCATTGTGGAGGGCGCCAGTCACCATCTGGCTTCCCATCTGCAGCTCATGGCCTCTCAGCTCAAGGTGCTGAGTTCAGTCTTAGTTGCAGGCAGGTGTAGCCCACCATTGAATAGGCAGTCTTGTTGTTAGGAACACGTGCTCTCATCAGCTGAGCCATCCTGCCACCTGTTGGCAGCTCAGTGACAACTCAGCTCAGGCACAGTGTCACTGGTCTATGTAGGAATCGAACCGGCAGCCCTGTTGCTCAGAGCTTGTGCTCTTAAGCCAACTCTTAACCAACTGAGCCACTCTGCCAGCCCCTATTTCTTCCTGCCAACTCTTAACCAACTGAGCCACTCTGCCAGCCCCCATTTCTTCCTGTTTTTAAAAGAAGTGGTGACTAACATATATATATATATATATAAAGAACAGCAATATTGGAAGCAGAAATAACTGTAAGTTCTAATTTACCCACTGGGCCAATTACCAGGCTAGGGTTTAAATCTCAGTTCCCCAATTCCTCAAACCTAGATTCAAATATTATA